TTAAAAATACCCGCAAATAACCCGAAAATACCTCACAAAGAAGTAAACTGTATGCTATATTAGTCATTCATTCACATTAACTATAATTAAAATATACATACTCGTATTGCATTGGTGTAATACAAATACAATAAATTAAATATTGCTATGTTGAACTTTTAAATTTAAAACCAACGTACCATTTATAAAATAACAACCAAATAATTAATATTTTAAAATCTAAATTCATTGAAGTACCCAATTTTATCAGAAATACATTTTCAAATGTTTATAAAACTTCTTACGACTTTCCGATGTATGAATGTAAAAATATGAATTTTAAACTATAAAATTGTGATGAATTCTCATCATTCTGTTAAAGTTTTATACTGAAATGCTCATTTATTTTGATTTTTTGAAAATAAAATTAATTTTTTTCTTTAGGCAGTAAAATATATGTATGTATGAAACTTTGTATACAATTTTCAATACTTTTCATCAAATCAAATTAATTTTATCAACAGCTTGAAAAAACATATATAAAAAACATGAAATTTTCAAATGTCTTTAAATAACTCATACATTTTTTTGTTAATTATATAATTTATAACAAAACGACAATATAAGCATCCACTAAATATTTCAAGTCTTAACGACTATCAATGTTTGAATTAGGACGAAAAAAAAAAATTAGTTTGTCAAAAACCTATTTTTCATACATTTCGCAGCATTTTTGTAATTTTTTTATCAATTTTTTACAATTATTAAGACTAATTAAAACTGTTTATAATCCACCACAAATCAATCTCAAATTAATATTTAGATAACTTTTCTTACCAGAAATATCCAATGATTGTGAGAGCTATTCTTCTGATCAAAATTGCATGCACAGACAGAAAAAAATTCATTTAAAAAAAACCAATGCATTCTATGTTTAATATATAATCTAAAATGTTATAGGTATTTACACAAACGATGTCAATGATAATAATATTTCACAGACTATGCCACTGTAAGGTAATAAATAGAACCTGGATATTGTGAATTCTAAAAAGTATAAAACATTTTATAGAATATTTAAACTTTAAAAAATATAAACAATAGGATACTTGAAAAAATGTATTATATTGAACTATAAGGGTTTTTTAAATATTCAAACTTAATTTTTTTTTTTTTTTTTTAAACAGTAGAAATTCGACATCATTTTCGGAATATTTATAAAAAAATAAAAGAACATGGTCACACGAAATACATGGCCTAAATAAATCAGGGGCGTAATTACGGGGGGGGGGGGGGAGGGGGGATAGATCCCCCTCCATGAGCTGTATTTATACAGTCAACTCGCGGTATAACGAAGTTCAATATAACGAAAACCTCGATATAACGAATAAAACTGTCGGATCCTTGAAAATCTCGTGATATAACGAATAATTAAATATATTTTGGTCCTCTCGATATAACGAAGATTTTTTGGTCAAAGTTCACGCAATGTAACGAATTTTTACAATTTTGGAGATTGATACTCCACGTCTTACAAGTTTGTTTCGGCTATTATTATGTTCATGTATCGTTTATATGATACACGTCTGTTAAATGTAAATTGTATTAAATATAAACATAAATTTGTTGTTATTGACAAAGATTTGGCTACCTGTGGAGTTCTCAATAATGATGAGATTTTGAATAAAACTGGCGATGAAGAGCCCCCGTAAGCTCGAATGTAGCAAAATTAGGTCGCCGTGCCGTCTTAAATTGTTTACAAAGACATGATATTGACGACAGTGTATTTTGTAATATTCTAAATTTGGACAACACTATTAATCGTGTAAGCACAAATAGATACACACACACAAAAAAAAAAACTGATTTTTTTGAAAAAAAAAAGTATATATGTAATAAACAAAAATGTATGAATGTATCTTATAAAATATTTAATAATAATCTAATATTATATGTCGGTATGTTATTATAAAAATCTAAAAAAATCTAAATTTTCTTTTAAATATCGTTTAAACAAATTTTGTTGATCTATGCTTATGATATAATGAATTTCGATATAACGTACTTTTTACTCGGTCCCTTGAAATTCGTTATATCGCGAGTTGACTGTATATTATCTTAAACCTACAAATAGCTCAAATATAAACTTATAAATTATTACGAAACTAAAAAAAAAACCAGGTTATAAATATTTATCCGTAAATGTCTATGTTTTCTTTATTACATCAAATTTTCAAAATGTTCTTTTAACCAACATTGAAAATAGTAATGAGGATCCTAAGGTTAAAACTTTAAAAATATTGTGTGCTACACGATGGGTGCAGCATTATGATGCGATAACAAATTTCATAGAACTATTTGTATTCGTAGTTGAATCATAAGTACAGAAAATATTCCTAATTTGAATGATTCCACTGCAACGTAAGCTAATATACTATTAAAAACTATTGATTCAGAATTTTTTATATCTTTACAAGTTATACAAGTAAATAGTAATTAATAAATATAATTTATTTTATTTTATAATAAAATATTTTTCCAATTGGTTTTTTCTTTTGGATTACCATTGTGTAAGTTGCTACAAAAAGAAAAAATAATTTAGGAAAAACAGTAAGCCTTGCTGAAGATATTATATTTTTATATTTATTTATTTTATTTATTTATTTATTTTTATATTTTTTTATTAAAAAATATCAGACTAAATTGTGATACTGAATTTCATAAGCATTGCCCCCACAAGTTTGCCATACAAATTTATTTTGCCCCCCCCCCCCCATGAAACATTCTCAATTACGCCACTGGAATAAATAACAGATTGTTAAATAATCATGTTTCAAAAATTATATTGAAGTATTAAAAATAATCTTATCAATATGGATTGTAAATACGACAAATCCAATAATCCTAGTAGGACACGACAAATAAGATTGGAAAAATAATCAAAGTATCGTGAAGACCATAAGCGAAACTACATAATAATATAATGATTACTACATATTATGTGGTAATCATATTATGATTGAAGGCGAGATTTTCCGCGGGGCTCCTCAAAGGAGCCTTGCAGTAAAATTCTGTAAGGTTTAATGAAATGTCAGTTCAAATAAATAAAATCATGAAATATTGAAATAATACTATATGTATACTGATTATTGATTACTGAACAGATTTTACTGAATACAAATCATCCGATGTTAACACGATAGTATACAGACTGCTATTCATAAATGTGAAAAATAAATTATACAATTATGCCCTTAATGTTATTTCCCTTACTTGTTAACGGAAATTATCGTTATATTACCGGTTACTACAGAAAGTGCTGAAAGGACATTCTCAAGACTAAAATTAACTAAAATTATCAAAAAAGCATCATATCCCACACACGGCTTAGTGGTTTTGGGATGATTTCGATAAAAAATGACCATGCTAAAAAATTTAATTTATCGTTGTTAGTGAAGACGTTTGCTCAAGATTATTGCAGAAAAAAACAATTTTCATTTCAAATACAAAACTATTATTATAGTTATGTACTTGAAATGAAAATGATTTTTTAATAATATCATACCTATTTTTTATTTTTAGAATATTAATTTATTACGAATATTTATTTTAATTTTTTAATGAAGATCTAAATATATACATCACCATTACCACTGTACAATCAAATTTAATGTACCTGGTCTCTGTAGTATAATATACAATGAATCAGGCCCGGCTCAAGGGGTAGGCGACATAAACCTTGAATGACATAAGAAGGAATTTAAAATTTTTAAACCATGGATAATTTTAAAAAAATATAACATTTCCTAGTACCTACTAATATCAAATTATGAGTAGTAAAAAACAAGACTCAAAAAATTGCTTTGTTTTATTTAAGTTAATAGTAGTTTACTTATCTACAAATGTATTAATCTAATAAATTTTTAACTTTACATAAATAAGTATAATGAACTCAGAATTAAGTCTATTTTACAATTGTTTAAGTAAAAATAATATTTGATATAGTATTTACATGTAAAGGGCGGAAAAACTTAATTTTGCCTAGGTTAGGTAAGTAAACGTTTGAGCCGGGTCTGCAGTAAATTGTAATTCGTGTAGGTAGTTAATGTAGGTCGTAGTGTAGGTATCCAATAGTTTACGGAAAACGTGAATCGTCATAAATGTCACGAAAATTCAACATAATACGCGTTTTTTATTTACCACATTCCAATCCATAATGTTATCACCAGTGGCGTAAATTATATCCAATTTCTGATGGTGCAGAGGTATATTCTCAACTTATAATTACCAACACACCAATTTTCCAATTTCCTAAGTAAAATGCTTCCTAATAAACTATAATTTTCCCATATATTTCTTTAAATAACAAATAAATTTTGAAGTATTTTAGCAGTAAAACCTTTATTATTATAATATTAAAAAAAAAAGCAATCAAAATTTGTTTTTAGTATGCTGATTTCCTTGGCTCTTGAAAATAATATTATAGGTATACAAATTTCAATAATTTTCTGGTGGTGCAAATACATATCTTTACACCACCACATTTTAGATTTGGTGTTGCAAGTGCCACATTTGCACCACCTAGTTTACGCCACTGGTTATCACGTAAATTACGAGGATGCACAAAGATACAATAATGCCTTATAAAAATCAATTGACATAGAAGGTCCATTGACATGAATCAGTCCACTAATAAACACTTTTTTTTATTAACTATTGTGTAACATATAAATGTTTTCAGTGTTATCACGCTTTTTTCAGTTGAGGATCGGAATATCGAAGTGCAACGGGCCCGGAAGTTTTAATCAAACAACAACGATGTTATTACTAATAACACATTATCTATCGCAGTATGACGGATATCATTGAAAAAATTAATATTTTTCTCGCCGCCGATGCCGATGCGTTATCACATCTCGGTCGTGGCGATATCACAGTTACCATTACTCCCACAGTACTACTTGTACCAACACTACGTCTGCGGACCTAGGACAATGGCTACGGCTCGATGTACTCTTGCACCGCGGGCGGTTAGTGCTATGACGACAACCGGCCACCTCCGAAACGATTGCGGCGACAACGTCAATATTACGGCCCCCGTCAACGAGTACGAAAAATTTTTGTTATCGCTGTTCGCTCGTTGTCAACGCGAGTGAACGATTTGGGAGGTTTTATTTTATTTGTATTTTTTTTGTTTTCACGTTCATGTTTTTCGCGTCTTTTCACGCACTACGTTGTGCGTTCAGTTTCGTTCATGTAGGCCCGGGAACGTGGTCGTCAAACGGCGTGTACCCGCGCGTGCGGTGAACAGTAGACATTCGTTGTCGTATCGCCCGACCACGGACACCGAGAAAATAGGTCGGTGCCGTTGTCGTTTCTCACAGCCGTCGTCCACTGTTCGGTCGTAGGTAGTCACCGACAGCAGGGCGGAACACGACGAGAACATTGGCCTCGCGTGCGCGTGTACCGCGGCTACCGACGACTGTCATGGCTCACAGGCGACCGGTTGGCGGTACGTCGTCATCCGTCACGGACAACGAAAATGCTATCAGACTCCTGGAATCGCTGCAGAATGATTTCAAATGCCTGTCCATGGAGACAAAGAAGAAATATCCGCAGATCAAAGAGGTGCGTGCCATTGTTATATTGGGCAGACGATCACCGAGTGTTTTTTTTTGATTAACTGCGTCTATTTTATATTATTGTTTTTTTCATGTACTTGTGTGTTTGCAGGCATCTGAAGAAGCTATCGTCAAACTGAGGAACTCAGCAGCAGTTGCGGCTGATCACTTATTGCAACAGCAACAGCCTCACTATCATCACCATCATGAAATCTACTATGTCGTCAATCAGATACTATATCCTGTGGTCCAAGGGTGTGAGACCAAGGAGCCAAAAATCGTTAAGGTATACATATAACACCCGATATAACAGTAAGATACATTAGTGCCTTGCTGTCTGGTGCTTAAGTATATTAATATAATTTTCAACGTATTATTTTTTACTACCTATAGATGTGTCTTGGAACAATACAAAAACTTATTACCAACCGAGCTGTTGATCAAAAAGGTGCACGTTACATCACCGACACTTTATGGATGTTGATGGAATCTGGTACTGAGCATGTTAAAGTATTGCAGAGTGTTACACTGTTATTGACAACTGATTGTGTTGTTCGTGGTGAAACACTGGCTCGGGTGATTATAATTATCATATATATATATTGCTATTGTGATTCATTGTTGGTAATCATAATGTTTTTAAATGTTTTTTTTTTTTTATACCTATGTGTTTTAGAATTTGGTGTTATGTTTTCGTCTTCATTTTACCAAAGATTCTCAGGCTGTTATCAATACAGCAGGTGCTACTGTGCGTCAACTTGTAGCTCTAGTATTTGAACGTGTTATACATGAAGACGAACAACTAGAGCAGCAACTCAAAGATCATAATGTAGGAAGTAGTAATGATAACAATGATTATAATGGTCAACAGCAACGGAACGGGGCTGATATATCCATACCATCTCAAGATCATCGGCAACAGCAAATTAATAGAGCTCAACAATTATCTTCCCATCATCATCATCAATATAATGGTAGTAATGTAAGTGGCAGTGATATCGCCACTGCAGTTGCTGCATTAGGTCCATGCGCTGCAGATGCATTTCTTATGTTCCAGGTATTATATAATTTGTTCAACAACATTTTAATTAATTTTTTTATACAAATTTGTTATTATTATCTTATTTTATTAATTTTTAGGATCTTGTGCGATTAGTCAATACTGATCGTCCTTATTGGCTAGTGGGTATGACAGAAATGACCCGTACATTTGGTTTAGAATTGTTGGAGTCTGTTTTGTCTGATTTTCAACCTGTGTTTTTCAAAGTAAATAGTTGTTATGTTAATGTTATTAATTTTTGTTGTATGTAAGACATATCCATGTGCCAATGTGTTCATTTATAGAGTGAATACGCTTTCATAAAATATTAATATACATAACAAATCATTAAATTAATTAATTAATTTTTTAATTGTTATATAGCAATTTTAACTAGTTTAATATAATTTAGATCTAATGCTACTCAAGATTATATAGTTTAAGTATATACATAAATAGTTTATATGTAGAAATAAAAAATAAAGAAATAAAATGAGTAGCGTAGAATATTAAGATATATTTAAGTATATATATATATATATATATGTATTTGAATTTGTGATTAACCTGATATTGAGTTTTTGATTCAAAATCAGTCGTAAAATACAGATATCTTGAATTTAGGATATACATTTTATTTATTTCTACATTTATACTATTTATTTATGATATTAATCATACATTTATTACATATTATTTCCTTCTGTTTATAATTTTAAATTTTCTTATGAATAACATAATAATAATTTTAAATATACAATTTTTGGTCTAAAAAATAAGTAACTAGTAGTAGTTACACTATAATATAACCTCATGGATTTTTTTTATTATCCAAGGTTGTGAGTTCTAATTATTTTATCTTTTAATATTTAATGATACATATGGTATATATATCAACCGTTTTGATTGCATATTTTCATAATATCATACAAAACAATTCATGTATCATATGAATATTGCAAATTTTATATCTCAGTGCAATAAAAAATCTAAATATTTATGGCAACATTTTCTATTTATTTTATTAGTGTCAAACAATCCTAAAACTTTATTTCTTAAGAATATTTAAATTATATTAATAAGTTTTTAATTTTGTATGTTATTAATTTTCAGCATTCAGAGTTTGGGTTTCTATTAAAAGAACGTGTATGTGCGTTAGTTATCAAGTTATTTTCGCCTAATATCAAACATCATAGTGGTAATAATACTGCTGGCAGAAGAAGTACTATCACCAACACTGGGACTTCGTCTGGCTCAGGCACTAATAATTCTTCAGTTATAATGATGGGAGTTACTGGTAGTACTGGTAGTCCTACATTAAATAACCGTGGTGATGACAGACCACATTACGCTATTACAGTTCGGCTGCTGCGTCTCGTATCCATACTGGTTCGCAAGTACCATAAACTTTTGGTATGTATTATTCATGTATAATTAAACAATTATTTAAAATGCATTGTTTTTTGATCAATTTATTAATGAAACCATTTTGACAAATGCAATACAATATATATAATATTAAAACTATTGAAGTAGTCATCAAATTTAAAGATACTAAAAAAGAATACATTTTTATATATAAATAAATAGTGTATAATAATACTCTATGCTTAGCATTTATTTATTTATTTCTATATGTAAAATATTTATTTATATATTAATTTATGAGTGTTAACAATTTATTAATTTTTATTATTTTATTAAAACATTTTTTCATAAATAATTATGTAGATCACTGAATGCGAGATATTTTTATCATTAATCGTCAAGTTTTTGGATGCTGATAAACCAGCATGGCAACGTTCAGTTGCCTTGGAAGTGTTGCATCGGTTAGTGGTTGAACCCGGTCTGTTGGCCGCATTTTGTGCATGCTACGATCTCAAGGTACATAGTACCAAAATATTTCGAGATATTATTGACTCGCTAGCCAGTTATGTACAATCGCTATTTAATCCTTCAATGGTGGTATCTGGAAGTGGGTCGATGAACAATGCATCAATGATAGGTTTGTATTTTATTGAATGTTTTGCATTATGTTTTTTTTTTTTTTTTTTTTTTTTTTGAATCAACAGTATTATTATTGACATTGACTACATTTTTGTCTTTGCAGCAGCAACAGCAAATGCAGCTCTTCAAGGACAGTCTCCATCAGTGTTAACTGGCATGCCAGTCGGACCAGGAGTTTCTCCCCAACCAGGGTTTTACAGCCGTAATGGTGTATGGCTACCAGTAGTGATCCAACTACCGACAGGTCAAGCTAAATCTATTTAGTAAGTACTATAACGTTTAAGAGGATGTCAGCGCAAAATAAAACATATGCAACGCTCCAGAGATGGCGTTACACACCACGAGCGGCATGAGTATTATCTTGACAGAGAGGTGCATTATTATTGTATTGGCGATCGTAACTTTAGGATCTCGCGTTTCGTTTCTACACAATATTACCAGGGTGCACACAACTCGTATAAATGCATAATAGGTAGATAGATTTCTGTATACAGAGAATTGCTTTTCTACCTTATTAGTCAGATATAGTAAAGTACATAGATAGTAAAAAAATGTTTAAAATTCAATCAACTATTTATGTAGTTCATTATTTTAATAACTTAGTTACATTATCAATATTGATACGTTAAATACAAAGAACACAATAAACAATTGTGTAATATTTGTAGCTTGAGTAGATCTTTTTCACTTGTTCTTCTTAATTAATATAAAAATACCATTCCATCATTTCAATTTAATCTCACACTTCCCTCTACATATATAGTAATTATAACAAAAAACTAATAAAAAAATTATTGATGAATTTAATAAAAAAAAAAAAAAAACATGTTTACGAAAAATGGCCAAAACAAAGGTCTAAAGTGATTTTAGAGAAAAATACCATATTTTCAAAAATAAAGATAACAGTATTATTTAGGGCATGACATATCCATTTTTTGATTAAAAAGGTGAAATTTTTAACAAATTAAAATGATCGTATTTTCGTTAAAAACTAATAAAAAGCTAAATGGATATGTCATTCCCTAGCTAATGTTGTTACCTTTAATTTTTATAGTAGGTTGTGTAACGCTAAGTCTAATCATTTTGGAATAAAACCTATTTTTCGAAAGCATGTTACTAAGAAGAAAAATAGCTCCGCTGACATCCTCTTAAGTATATTTTATTTATTATATTATATCTATAGTACCATTGTATATAATTATAATTAATATTTTAATAATTTTTACTTTACTATCTATCAATAATTAATATATATTTTATAAGGTATATAATTTTATTAATAAACATTCTTCTTTATTTTTATGTTTATAAATAGCCTAGAAATGAATGACAAACATGACGAACCACCACAGATAGCTGATGGTTATGGTATTTCTGTAGCATATGCATGCTTGGTTGACGCTGTTCGTGCCATTCAAATTGAAGTACGCCCTGATATACATCAGCCTGTTGCATCTTTGCAACCTTCTACTATTATACCATCATCTAGTGGGGATGATGATACTCATGGTCATCATCAACAGAATGATAGTACTGATCAAAAGACCTCAATTAAAGGTTACAATGATGATAATGAAGAGCGAAAAATATCAGGCACCAAGAGATCACCATTACATGAACAAATAATAAACAGTAGTTGGTGTGGACTATTAACAACGTTTTGCCCATTAATTGAATCATGGTAAGTTAAATTTTTCATAAAGAATATCATAGTAATGTAATTGTATAATAATGTGCGTATGATATCATTAACTATATTATAATTTATATTATTTTAGCACTGATGAAGGTATTACAGAAAACATGTTAAAAGCTATGCAAGCATACATTGGTCTATGTGGTCAACTGGATATGCGAGGGCCACGTGATGCTTTTATCACGGCTGTATGTCGTGCTTGCTTACCACCTCATTACAACCTTACTGTATTTAATGGAGCAGGTAATACTTGTTGTACAGCTCAACAGCCTTCAACACCAGTTCAGTATACCACTTCTTCAACAATGTATGATGACCATCATCACCAACAATACAATTCTACCACTAATAGTTCATATGGTTCAGATTCTACTGATTATAAACAACAACAACAGGTTGTAGTTGCTGTAGGTACACCATTGGCTACTCCGTCATCAGTACTGCAGGCCATGTCATCTTCAACATCTAGTGAGACTTTAATTACTACTTTCCATACTATATGACTGATATGCTATTTTGGTATTCTTTCTTAAAGGAATGAGTTTTAATTTAAAAGTATGTTTATGTTTATAGGTACCTCATTGCTAAACCATGGACCTGTGATGCTTACTGCCAAAAATCTACAGTGCATGCGTGCTTTATTAGTACTTGCACACTGCCATGGATCTATCCTAGGTTCTTCATGGCACTTAGTTTTAACTACTTTACAGGTAATTAAGAATGTGATCCATTTCTTTGATATAATTCATCTGTGCATATTTTGTTGTTTTATAAATTAAATTTAAAAATATTTGAGTATAAATGATTGGTTTTTGTCTGCAGCATCTTGTTTGGATACTAGGACTTAAACCATCGACAGGTGGCAGTCTTAAGGCTGGGAATGGAGGTGCTACAGCTGTATCAAATAGACACTCTGGAGTTAGCAACTCTGGTACTGCTGCTGATGGCACTGTTGTGGGTTCATTATCATCATCTTCTGCAGCTATTGCAACAACTTCATCATCAAATGTAGCAGTCATTACTACAGCTGTTATGGCAGCAGACCTGCCTGTTTTATCTACAATGCTAAGCCGACTTTTTGAATCCAGCCGATATCTAGATGATGTAGCTCTCCATCATTTAATCGATGCTCTCTGCAAATTATCACATGAAGCAATGGAGTTAGCCTATTGCAATCGAGTAAAAAAAATATATTATTACGACTATCTATGTCTAATGTTATGTACAAACTATTATTTATCTATATATAATTTAATAAATTATGTTCATGTGTAGGAACCATCACTATTTGCGGTCGCTAAATTGTTAGAAACCGGATTAGTAAATCTCTCTAGAATAGATATTTTGTGGAGACCAGTAACAAATCATATGTTGGATGTTTGCCAACATCCTCATATAAGAATGCGTGAATGGGGTGTTGAAGCCATTACATATTTAGTTAAAGCAGCTTTGCAATACAAGTATCAACCGCCATTAAAAGATAATCAAGTTAGTATTGTTTAAAAAATTTGTAATTATTTCTCATCAATGCCAAAAAAAATTTCTCATAAAAATATTATATTGAAGGAAAAATTTAATTTTATATTACATACCAGTAATTATTCAAATATCTGTATTTACTATCTTTTATAGATTTTTAATTACATTAGTGAAGTATTTATTAAAGTAAAAACTATTAGAAAGTTGTATTTTTTGTATTACCTTTTATTAATCGTTTATTTATCTATTTACATTTTAATCACAGAAATTACAGACATTATTGCTCAGTCCATTAGCACAGTTGTCTTTAAATATGCATGGTGATGTCAGGCAGAGACAATTAGAGTGTGTGTTGCAAGTATTGCATGGTTCAGGCGAAACATTATCTCATGGTTGGCCATTGGTTTTGAACATTCTTGGAGCCGTATCAGACCGTCATGGGTATTACGATATTATTTAAATATATTTTATATAAATACATATATATTATTTTATATAATATATTACAAATTTCTTATTGTTGATAAAAGCCGGTAAAATATTAGAAGTTAAAATAATTTTATAATTTTGCAGAGAAAACCTTATAAGAATAGCATTCCAGTGTTTGCAACTGGTGGTTACTGACTTTTTACCACTGATGCCCTGCAAATGTTTACCATTGTGTCTGGAAACAACAGCTAAATTTGGCATGCAGACACGTGAACTGAACATATCGTTAACAGCAGTTGGACTTATGGTATTTATTATGTTTTGATAAATATACCAATTAATTTAAATAGGTATAATATAAATATATTTAAAAGATAAATAAAATATTTTGTTAATTCTAGACTATTATAAAATATACCTAATTCAATATAATTTTAATTTTTAAATAAAGAATTCTGTTAACTATTTATAGTTTTTTAAAATTAAAATTATAATGATTATTAACATACATATAACCAATACACTGAAAGATTTTATGTGTTACTCTTTAAGTACTAAACAATTAAACTAAATGTTTTCTTTTATAATCTTAAATTTATCTCTTTATTCAAATTTAATTATGTTTTTCTATGTAAGGGTCTATATTATATTAGGAAATGATCTTCCAAACGTTTATTAAAAAATAGTCATATTATGCTTTGCATTCTATGTTTTTTTCAGTGGAACGTAGCTGATTATTTCAACCAAAACAAAGATAAACTTCTTTGCAACAATAGTGGTGACAACAATAAACAAAAAGAAACTCGAAATACCAGTGGCGAAGAAACTACTGAAAGTAATACAGAATTATCGGTGTCTACGATTACCTTAACTGATACACAAGAATTACTATATCCCGATTTCCCTGGGGTTGTCACATTAGCGGAAATGTCTGAATTTGATAAGTTGTGGATGTGTTTGTTTACCAAATTGGGTTTGTATACTTACTATATACAATATGATCTAACTTAATTTCATTGTTTCGTGTACGTTTTAGGTGAATTGTGTATCGATCCTAGGGCTCCTGTTAGGAAGTCAGCTGGACAAACGTTGTTCTCTACAATTTCGGCCCATGCCAATTTGCTAACACCATCATCGTGGAATGCAGTCCTTTGGCAGGTAATAAAATGCTAATAAAAGTTTTTCTCATTTTTCCACATCAATATTTAATTGCATTGTCATTTCAATCACGTCATAGGTTTTATTTCCATTAATGAACAAAGTACAGATGCTCTGTGAATCAGCCAGTGATTCAACGTGCAACACCGTTACAGCTTCCGACTCTTCTGGTGGTGGTAGTGGAGGAGGTAATAGTAGTAATGGAAGTGGTGGTGGTGGTACGATTTTAATACATCATTCCCGAAACACTGACCAGAAACAATGGGCCGAAACACAGGTTAGATTTTATCTTGATTTAATAATACTCTTTGAGATTATCTTAGTATGAAAAATAAGGCTCTAATGTACATACATAGTAATCCTTCCCATAATATATGTGTATATAATTTTAATTTATAATATTTATTTATTTTTAAGGTATCAACGTTGTATGGTTTAGCTAGGGTGTTTAATGCTGAGAAATACTCGATGACAGTTGGTGGAGATTTCATCAAAGCCTGGACACTTTTATTGGAGTATATGGAAAAAGCGTCTTCAAATAAAAACGTTGAGGTTCGTTTGTGTTGTAACACTAATATAATTTATTTTTTTTTTATTGATTTCTCTGAACTTATATACATTTCATTGTTCTCTTATTTTTTATTTTAGGTTTCATTAGCTGGGTTACGTTCATTGCACGAGCTTTTAATGGTATACAGTAGCAGTAATAGCGATGGTGATAGTACTAATAAGAGTACGACCGTAGCAAATGACAATAATCCTGGAGCTTCAGACCGTTTGCAGAAAGATGATGATTGGCAAAATAAAAACAGTAACAGTGAATTGCCATTCCCTACAACTGCTCAGAATTCACCATTACCATCAACACCATTGTCATCATCAGTGGAGGACGAGATTTGGGCATGTACTTGGACTGTTTGGATGCGAATCGCTACATCCGCTACTGCAATTACTGGAATTGATCACTCTCCTAACTCTACATCGCCCACCCCCACCAATACGAACTCTAATAACAGTTCGTCAACAACTTCGGTAGAAGATCGTTGGCGTCGTGAATACCAACAACAGCAACAGTCTTTGCAACATAAACAACAATTCTTAACAGCCCTTTTGCAAATATTTCCATTGATATTCACGCATATTAAAACCAGGTGAGAGTTCATTACCAGAATAAAATAATGTTATATTATTATCGCTGTTTTACTTGAATCTGAACGCCACTGTGATGATGTATTTTTTATATTTATTTTTTGTTTCCATATTAAGGTTCACTGACAAAGACTTGAAAGATTTGTTCCGCGTGTTGGATGCAGCAGCTGCTGTGGACGGATCGGCTGCTGTGGTTCTGTCCGATAGCCATCACCATCACCATCATCACCACTATCACCATCAGCAGCAACAACAAAATTACTATAGTGGTAGCTACAATCAACAACAGCTTACCCGGTTACAGGATGAAATTTTACAGTGTCTGGAAACGTTGGAGAGAGAAACTTTGATTTTTGATGATGATGAGTTTGGTAACGAGGACATCTCAACATTAGAAGCAGCTGAAAACAACACACCAAATAATTTTGAGATTGGTAAGAAGAATCCAACGATATCAGCAGAGCAACAGCAACAACGACGACAGCAGCTAGTTGAGAGATTCCTTTGTCCGCTATTTGATCAACTATTAAAGTTTTGTCGCTTTGTATGTCCTCCCCTACCATCCACCACACATAACAACACTGTTAATAATGCCGGTGACCGCCAGCAATTAACGAACGGTGTCGATCACTTCCATCACCATAATAAAGTATGTTTAACGATATACTAATTCTTATCATTTTTGCTGAATTTTGCGTATGTAGTTCGCAGCAGCAGTGGCGGTCGATTCAAATTACGTAGCGTTTGGTGAAAAAGCTGTGCTTATGGTAGTTGATTTATACGGAATGACAGCCGCTGAAAAATGTGTTGTTAAGGGTGAAATATTAAGAAGAATAATTGAAGTAAGTAATAACCTTTTTTACGTTTTACATTTCAGTTTGGTGTTTTATTTATTTTACTTCTTATTCATACACAGGTATTTTCTGTACCCCTTGCTGGTCGATATTCGTCTAATCCACCCCCCGCATCTTCATTTCATTACCATTTAGACGTGACCCCCTCGTCGTCGGGAAACACGCAACAACAACACGTACAACAGCAGCAACAGCAGCACCTTATGTTAGTCAGGAGGCGACAGCAACAGCAACAAAACACGTGGAAACTACTTGTGGTCGGTTTAATGAATGTGTTGTCAGTAGGCGTACCATTAGCCCGTGACTACCGGGGTGATGATTACCTTTCCATCTGGTCACCGTTGGGCTCCGTTTTGGAAGATATATTATTTCCGAAAAAGTTTGTTTTTAATTTGTAAATTAAAAATAGTTGCTCTTGGTTGATTTTTTGTGATAACTTCCACGACAAACGTGGTAACAAAAGAGTTTAACTATTTTCTTTGGTTTTGGATTTTAGCTTACCACCAGTGTCCGGTATGGTAAAAAATAACAAATTAATGGACGACAATGACGAAAACGAATCGGTGATTATTGACTGTCAGTTGGTAGAGTTCTTAAAGGACGAAATATTATCGCAGTCAACTAACGTGCCCAGAGAATTCATCATGCGCGTGGTGGTGTTATTAAATCGGGGATCGGTGTTATCTACTAGTACAGCATCAACGATACCCAATTACCCTTATGGTAGTGGTACGTATTTATGAGAACAAACATCAAACCTCTACAACCGTTATAAATATACTTTTTAAATTAGAAACCGTTGTTGTTTTGATGTGTAATATCTACTATTTTCAATGCTATTTCTCCCAAAATACATTTTTTGTAATTTATTTATTAAGATGTTATAATCTGGATATTATTAAAATTTAGGATATGACACTATGATGATGGTAGACTGTCGCGAAGGAAGTGGAGTTGTAGGTACTGGTGCTGGAAATGTCACGAGTGGGTCCTCACCGCCGTCCTTATTACGCGAACAGTTCGCTAAAGTTTGTTTCGAAACATTACTACAGTTTTCATTAGTCGACGGCATTTCGTCACCATCATCGCCTTCACTACACGAATTCACAGTGGCAGACAACGGTGGTACCAGCGACTGCACAGCAGATGCCGAATTGATAACTGGAAAACTGGCAGTTACTGCACTGTTACATCGGTTCCAAGAAGTGGTTGAAAAGTTTTGTCATGATCAAAACTTGACTGGAAAATGTCCGTTGCCGAGGTAAAAATGCGTATTTTTGAAAATAATCAATTGTTCTATACGAAATATATAACTCATTTTATATAATCTTACACTAATAATAATGGAAGTAGTTTAAAATTCAAGTATACGCATAAACTAAAAAATGGAGAAGTCGTATTACGTATTTACTGATAATAACATGTAACATCATGTTTGTAGGTACCGCATGTCGGAAATTTCATTCGTGTTGAAAGCTATCGCTACACTGATCATATCGCTGAAGAAAACTCCCGACAAAGGTAAGCATAATTGGATCTTTGTTTAATTGATTACTAAACACTTCTAGTACGTTTTAATCATTTTGCACATACAAATATCATTCGAAAGTGTAAAGTAATCTGAGTATGTTTTGTCTGTTCAGTCAATAAAGCTGTATGGGATCAACTGGTTAGATTATACCCTTGCCTTGTGCGCTGTGTGCCGTACACGCAACAATGTTGTTCATCACCTCAAGTTACGGACTCTTTAACTGAAGCTCTGCTTCAGTACGGCGACCTGTTGCTCAAAGCGCCGCCTATTGATGCCGATGCTCAACAACAATAATTTAAAAGTGACCTTCACAGCAGGATATTCCTCACTGCTGCTGATGCTGCTCGCGTACACTTTTATATAAATAAAAAAAAAAAATTATATATCATCCTTGTCATCGCTAACACTCCGCTTGCACGATCATCCGTCTGCGTAATCCCATGTGTTATTATTATTTATACATTATTATTATTATTATTATTAGATACCTATAATTATCGCGTCGGCGTTAATTTTACTATTTTATTTATAACCTAGTAATAGTAGTATTAGTACTGGTAATAACATAAATCGTAGATATTTTTTTATCTTAGTAGCTATTATAGTATGTATTATTATTATTTATATTATTATTATGATAACACGTTTTATCTCATATTAGGCATATGTGTATTTATGTATATTTGTGTGTGTATATTTTTTTTAAATTTAAGAAAGATACCGATTGAATGATGAGCTTATAGTGTTAAAGTATTATCACGTGATAATCGATTACCAACTAAAAATATCCTGCCACCAATGTGTACATTCTATATCTATAACCATAAAATGGTTATTTAAAATCATAAAAACGGTGGCCATTTTTATAGTAATAAGTTATTTCTAAATTACCAATGACAATTATATTACTATTGTCCTTGCTAATGATTTTCAGATATTTTATATGTATTTATAATTTTTATGAGGGGGGAAAATTCCAGAGTATATTTTTATTATTATTTTTTTTTTAGTATTATTATGTATTTTCAAATTCAAGATATTGTATTTATAATTTTTTTTTTCTTAGTAACATGTTATTTGCAGTAGAAATATTTATACTTCTGTTTTTCTTAAGCTTATGTTATCTTATATTGACGTTTTACTTCTATTATTTTATACTGTAATATATGCTGTGTAAATAAACGATATTAAATATTTACATAAATTAATATGCAATGTCAGCATACAACTCATTATTTAATCAATTATATGAGGGTGAGAATAAACAAAGTAATGATTTTATAATTCTAACTGTTGACCTGAAAGTATAATATCAATATAATTACTGCAAACAGAAGCAATGATTACGAACCACCTCTCACAAAAGTGTACTTGCGTTTTTCATAAAATTTATTTATACACGTATTCATTTATTTATACAGCCAATATTATTTTTGCTTTATTTATGTATTATATTTTTGTGATTATAGACAACAAATTAAAGACAGTGCAGATCTATTGATCATGGTGGATTTACCAAATAATAATAAATTCCATTATTTAAGCATTGCTGAATAGTTAAACACTTATTTTGGAATAATTAACTTATTCTATTTGTTTTCCAAAAAAAGTTTACTGGGGTAATTTAAATATTAAGTAACACGTTATTGTTTGGGTTTTATATACGCTATGAACAATTTTGTACATGGATACAAAGTTGAATTATGGTCGGTAGTAATGATTAATAATCCAAGTAAAATAAAAATATTATCACTCAAGATAGAAAATGTCTACTTTCATCTCAGAAAAAATGATTTTTTTATAGCTATCTATTCGTTATTCATAAGTAATACCTATGTGTAGAAATGTGTTCGTATGTTATCGGAACTGTTTGTTGACAAATATCGTCTGTATGGTATTTAAACGATAATTGTCTACATGTTATTTATTGAAAGGTGGTTGCGATGTTAGGTGTATTTGCCACTACTGCAGCTTACGTGTTGCATACCTTATTCAAAATAAACAATAAAATACATTTATTTTATACATGGTATGGTGCATTAAATGTTGTATATTTTATAAAATATTTTTACTTTCGAAATAAAGTTTGTTAACATTATTTAACGTGTGCGTCAGTGAGGCAGAGTAGGCCGAAAGTACATAGCGCTGTGTTTCTCCTCTTACCAGTCGTCATCATCTCCACTGATGGCTCCACTTGACTGTCCGTTTTTCATTGTTTTACTCGATTGCATTTTGCTCCTTCCGCCATTGTGTCCGTCATCTCCGGTCATCTTCCGATGACTCTTGCTTCTGCTCTTCTTTCTGTCGTCACTATTGCTATTGCTGTCGAAAATAGAGTTCCCGTTTCTCTTATTGCTTCTGGACGGTACCCTATCATTTTCGCTCTTATCGGGTCTGTTGGCTTTCCTCGACCGCGACTCTTGATCGCGTTTCAACGGTCTTGTCGTCGGTGCCCGAAACGTTTTAATTTCATTGTCATCATCGTTGTCGGTGAACCAAGAGTCCTCTTCGACTGGGGCTATTGGTTTTTTCACGCGGTCTCTAATTTTCTTTCTCCTTGCCGAAACTGACAGTGGTACCGAGGACGAGATCGATGACGATACCGCTGTTTTCTCGAGTGTCTTATCTTCGTTGCTGTCGTCACTTCCCATAAAGAAACTGGTCACCGAACCGAATAAAGACTTCGGTTTTTCCGGCTGTGTGGAGTTTGATGAAGCCGGACCGTTGCTACAGAAAAACGTATAAAACTAGTATAGTATAAAAAAAAAAATTTCTGATTGATACATTAGGTAAGCAATCATTTTACGGATCTTTCAAGAATTTTATTAATAATTGCAAAAAACTAATGAAAAGTAATAAGAAAACGGCAAAATTTAAATTGCATTGGTTTACGACAAAATCTAACTGTTGTTTTCATCGAAACTCATAAAATAACTACCAAATATAAAGACTTAACATTTTTACTGATTATTAATATTACTGTTCGCTGATAAATGATAGACATTTCTGAGATATTTATTGATAGTTAAAAATGTCATGTTTTCTTAGTTTTTTTTGAAAATGTTGATAAAATAATTTTGGTGAGACATTCAATTTATAAAACATAATACAAAATTCCTTGTACATATCTACTAATGACTAATGAAAAAAAAAATGTACGTTGAATACTCAATTTTAACTATATGAAAATCCAATACATTTCTATTGTTAAGGCTTTCAATTTTTATACTTAAGGCTTGAAAATTGGATACAATATTTTTATACTATTTTATAACAAAAAAAAAAATGTTTAACGATAATTCACAAAAGAGTTTAATAAACATTAGTGAAATGAAATTTTCACGAAATCAGCTATTCTAACGAATTTTAACTATAAGATATTACTGCAGGAGCGTACCCAGGAATTTTTTATAAAAGGAGGGGGTCCAAAACTTTTATTTTATCTGTTCTCTAATTGTAATCATACTCAATACCAACAAATTACTGTTAATATACTATAGTATGGTTTATACATTGTAGGTATATTATGTAATCTATAAACTTTGTATATTAAAGTTAATGGGAAATTAAAATACACTATATACTATTTATTATTAAACCGTTGAGTATGTAGAAATTTCAATGGGGGGGAGGTCCAGACCCGAACCTCCCTCCCTTTGGGTACGCATTTGTATTATTGGTTTAGTTGTTATTCAAACAATATTGCGAGTAATTGTAGCGACACGAAATGTTTACCGAGTACCTGACTACCTAATATTATATTTTTGAAAATACTTTATAATTTAGAAATATATTTAAAAAAATTGTGCTGTTTTTTGGCAACTGAAATGTTCGATGTTTTTAATTGGTTATAGTTTGATAACACAAGGACAATGATAACATTTTAATGTTTTTTACTTACCTACCTATATAGCTTTTTTTATAATAGAACATTAAGAGTTCAATCCAACTAGTTAAGAAATTTAATATTATACTCGACAACATGTATGGACCATCAGTGCATACGATAAATAAATCACCGATTCTACAAGTCGTGTACTCATGCTCAACACCGAAAACGGAATAACTAAGAAGGGCTGTCGTCTTCGACAAAACTCTGTGCACGCGAATCGCGTCCGACGAAGGGAACCGATTTTATTTTTTTGCGCGCCCGAACCGACGTTTAACCGTGGTCACGGTCGGACCTATACGACTGACGGTAGAGTTGATCGTTACCAGTAACGCGTGATGTGTTGACGACATCGCGGATATAGTCGGAAAAAAAGTAAAAACAAACGATCCTAGTCACGATGTTAGCTAAACGAGCGGCGAACGTGCGAGAGGATGATAATTAACTCGTTACTTCTTTTACAAATTAACTTTTAACTTAATAGGTTATTTTTTTTAAAGATTAACATGTTAACTTTAAGTTAATTGTATTTAAATGTATCTTAATTAAATTAATTTTAGTGCAAAAAATAATGCAAATTATTAAATGAGATTTTTAGTATATTTATAATTTACTATTTTAATATGAATTTCGTGTAGACGAAAATAATATTAAAAATAACTTTAATAGTCATTATATGGGCTATATTTTACCATTATATTTTTATAATATTTTTATTGTATAAACACTATAAACCCATGGAAATCCTAAGAATATTCTGTTAAAATAGTAAATACCATGAGAGCGAGTGTCGATGGGGGATTAATCACAAAACAGCTGTAGTATAATTTCCAATTTAATTTCATTATTCAACTACCATGTGGTCTTTTCACATCTCGTTAGAATTTATAATATATTGTTATTAGTTTATTACTTTATTAGCTTATCATATTTCTGTGAAAGTTTATTTCTCTATTGATTAATTAGTTATTAATAGTTATTAATTAGCTAGTTAATACATTTATGTATCATTTTAAAATAACTTAACTTAACGAGTTTAAAAAATCAAGTTAACTTGCCCAGTCTTGATTATTTGAATATTAACAATATTTTTCAACCACCTTTGTATCTCATTCAATCTAAAAGTTTCTCTCTTTTTTTAATTTAATAATAATTATTCGAGAGAATTTAATATATGAATGAATATAATATAATTCCTATAGGTAATAAACTTTTTGTTATTAATTTCTTAAAAGTTAAATTAGCGGTTCTTAAACTATGGTACACGTATCACTAGTGGTACATGAAGGATTACATGGTGGTACGTGGAAAGCCACATGGTGGTAGAACGGAAATTAAAAATTTGATATTTAGTTCATATATTAATTTAAAAACATTAATAAATCTGTAAAAACTATTATTTTCTTTTTGTTATAAGATTTTGTAAAATTATAACTTGGCCCCCCTAACCAAGGCTCTGGAGCCGCCCCTGGCAATACTCAATCATGGTAGGATTCAGTGTTCGATCAAAGCGAATAGAATAAATGGCATCGTGGACACATAGTCGCTTATATGTGTAAAATAACGCACAGATCATTCTTAACGGTTTCTGATATTATTCGTTTTGTTTTTTATAACATGTTAGGTGTATGGACAAATTGATGCGTTCAAACCGACCGTAGATACCTCTGTATAGGTAGACGAATATGTGTGACTGTATGAAAAATAGCGACAAATATCGTGGTGTGATACCTTTTGAAAATGGACATCATGCCCATGACCGATTCCAAAAATGCTCTCGTGTCCGGCCCCGTGGTCAATTCGGACAACAGCCCCGCGATTGTTTTCATCATAATTTGACCGTTGCTGCCGACGAACACTTCGAACGCCATCCGTATGTCCGATGGCGATAGCGGCAGCCTGTCCAGCAAACACGAGGTGGACGGGCTGGAATCCAATATGCTGATGATCATGCGCACCAAAGCGGAGCTGACCTTTGGGTTGGTCATCAACCTTTCCATCACCAAGGATATCGCATGGGTCACTTGGTCATCTGTGGCCATGAACGTAGATATCGTACCGACATCATCGATTATCTGTGTCGGACTGCCTTTGGTATTCATACCGACTCTCGATCCTTTTCCCGACAAACATAAAATGTATTATGATCGGACAGGCGTAGGAATTTTAACCTAGACCAGGGGTGACGAAACTTTTTTCGTTCAAGAGCCAAATTTTTTCGATTAAGGTATTGAAAATTATATTTTCTAAGAATAAAAATAAAATTACAGAATTATTACATTATTTTTATTAATTTTTAGTCATTTTTAGTAAAACACAAGCAGCAATCGTTTCATCGGTCTTTCCTTAGATTTAATTCAATTCATTATGGCAAATATGCTTTCGCAAACATAAGTTGACGAAAAATATGAAAGCATAAGGAATATTGTCATATGAATAATTTATTTTTTTGAATTTCTTATAACTTTTTGTGTACAATTTTTAATAATTACAATTTTTTACGCGTGCCAATTAAGTCTGGTCAACGTGCCACTTTTGGCACGCGTGCCATTGGTTTTTCACCCTCGACCTAGACTAAGCTCAGTTATTTCTCACTGTTACAATGTCTTTTTAGTTCAATAATATTACGATGATGATCGTTTCCAACTTCCTCGACAAGTCATGTCGAGTTGCGTTTTAACGTGCAATGTTAAAATACAATTATTGGTTTATTGGTTCGCGGTGCGGACGTTTCGCCATATAACGCGTGACAATATTTACAGTCGAAAATTTATTGTTACTGTTAATCGCGATTATCGTGTAGATCTATAACTAAAATCTGTCAAAATTAAATATGTAACAATAACAATTAAAGTGTATAGTAAACAACATAAACATATTATGTATTACGTACTTACTCGTTTTACTGATGCTAATTAATTTAAGAATCTATTGTTTTAATTTCTTTTTTTCTTTTTTTTTGTATAATTGTACTGCCATTATATAAAATTTCAATGTGCAATTAAAAGTTGCCTATACGCTTTTTAAACGACTGAGAAAAACCAATTAATGACTATGAAACAATGCTAATTATCATAATTGATATATCAATGTATATGTCAAACCTTGTATTTGAAAATGAAAAAAAAAAATAAAATACTTTTATGTATACGTTTGCACACAAAATATATTTTCAATGCAGTTCTACGCGTGTAATCCTAATCAATATAAACATATTCAAAATTAAAAACCATTCAACAAATATCGGTGTAATGTTTAATAATAGTTTGTTTTTTTTTTTTTTTTTTTTGACTTTTCGTCATACTAACATAGAGCAATCGAACAATTCCGAAAAATAATAAACTTGTCTAGTACCACTCGATTTGAGTATTCGCGTTCCGTACGGACAACGACGTCCCGGGCGCCGCAAGTTTTCCGAGACGAGCGAATGGCGACGGTGATTAGTTTTCATCGCATGACATTACGACCGACGAAGCGTGTTAATGGTAAGCTTTTATAGTTGTTTACTGTTTGCACACGTGTAGTATACGGCCGTCACCGGGTGTATTACGCAACGATTATTATACGCAACGATCGCGAGTATATAATTTTCCGCTTTAAACGTTCGCCGAGAACTCAGCACTTGGTAAACGTCTAACGTTCAACCGCAAAGAAAATTAACGACCGAGATTCCCTTGTCCGCGCGTACGAGGACAGATTTAAACTTCGATTAGCCAGGATCGCGTCCGATGTTCGCCGACCCCTGTCTCCCTGTCAAAAAGTTTACGAACTGATTAGGACCGCCGATCCTGGACGGGACCGATTCACGCACATAAAAACACGAATAACTACCGTAAAAAGGTGGATCGCATAACATCGGAAACTATTGTACTGCGACGGGCCTTAGTAGTAAATCGATTGGTTCACCGGGTTATCCCAATGGGCGTCTACTGAGGCAGCGTCGGCGGAAGGGCAGGGCATAAGGGGCAGCTACCCAGGAACCCGCGCCTTTCGTGGGGTTTAATGATTTGTATGCCTAGCGTATAATATTACTTTTAAAATCAACGAACAAGTTTCCTCTGCCGTGTGAAAATATATATGGTATTTTAATCTCCAATATTATGTTTAGTAGTGCCTTTAGTGTGCATAATTAGTATAATAATAATTAATTAATAAATAATAGTATATTTTCGACGCTTTGGTGATAAAATATACGTAATATTCAAACGAAGGAAAAGTTTTTCACATCACCTAGGTATGATAGAAAAACATGGCTTTCGAGCGCTAGGAGATCTGAGAAAAAATGTTTTGGCTTTACGAAAATCGATTCTAGTGACAAAATCTGCCCCGGGTCCCGTAAACCACCCATCATCGCTACACTGTGGCACAACTAAGTGATCAGGTATCATTTACGGATGTCCAGACTTCTGGCCGAATAAAAAAACCCTTATTGATACGTTGCTGTTGATATTAAATGAGTAATCCGAAACCGTTTAAATCGAAACATTATTTCCGAATGATTCACTGGGCTGAAAAACAATCAAAACTATTACGTACAAAATATAAACAATGTTCGTAATAGTGTTATATTCAAACACCGACTATATCTCATCATCCCGAAGGATATTTGAATTTCGATGATGATCCGTTTTCAATCCGTTATGAGTTAATGAAAATTGTATTTTAATTCGAAGAAGCTCGTAGTAAGATAAAATCATCATCAACCGTGAGCGGGTGAATCGTGTAGAACGTTTTGTCTTGAACGAGAGAATATATATCGTACAACGTTTTGACTTTCACTGTCAAAAAGTCAAAGTCAGGAAAAAAAAAAACGAAAAAAAAATGCTAAATATCATATTCGATCGAAACAGTGAAATTTTTATCTTTTACCGTCTGAGAATAAAAAAACATTGATTTATCCAACCCTGTCGCGTAATGCACTCGTACCGGCTACTCATATTAATTGCACCCGACGACAATCCGAAGTGTTTCTCGAACAAGTACTCAAGCATGTTCCGGACTCGCGCACACCCACCGAGAACCGCTAGCGCAATTTACAATATCTAACCCGACTCGTACGTATTTTAGGGGGGGTGAAGAGGTGATAGCCCTCTCCTCTGAATCCGTATTTAAGAAATAGATTATATGTGGGATACATATTTCGAATTTTTTTAATGTGGATCATTTTATAACGAAATCAAATTACGCGTGGCTGCGAATACTGAATTGGACTTTTTGTCGCGTCCATACTTAGTGTATGTATAAAATACAAGCGTAACTTTCAAAACACAAACAGGTGTTAAAAAATAACTATACAAAATTGGATCCGGCATTAGATTATAAAAAAACCACAAATATTAAGGATTCACCTGATTTGAATATTACTAACTATTTTACTTGTAAAAGTCACCCCCCCCCCCTAGAAGTAAGTATAAATACGCCCCTGTCCATACGTACCGATATATTTGACCAGTAGTTTGAAGATCTCTTGGTTGCCGTTATTGCCGTTCAGCCCGGCCCGGATCTTGTGCGTGCCAATGTTGCCCAGCAGCAGGCCCAGATCGGTGACCTGCTCCATGCCCGCGATTCCGGTATCGATCATGTTGAACACGGATCCACCAAAGTCCGTGGGAAAGCGTCCAGACCTCGGCCGGCCGCCGCCAGCCCTCGGCTCGTCGTTCGCGGGCTCCGCGCTGTCCGCGGCCTTCGGGACGACGGAACGCGAGGCGCTCTCGGTGGCGTTGCTTTTGGCCCTACGGGTCCGGTGCCGGGCTATCTCGAACATCTTGGACGACACGCCTTGGAACGTGTCCATGCTGCGCTGGACCACGTTTACGCCGGTCCGCAACAGGCCCCGGAACATGTTGGACGGTCTGCGGAATAGGTAATCGTGGAGCATCGTGCCGCCGTCATCGTTTGTCGCCCCGGGAACGCCGCTCGACACCGCTTCATCGTCACCGTCGCCGTCGGTGGTTGCCGGCTCAGCGACGCCCGGGGTTAAGGGTGGCATGCCATTGGTCACGAGTTGGGCTCTAGGTGCCCACGCCGAACTACTCTTCGTCCGCACATGGTCGTGTTCAGACTTCGCCCGTTCCTCCTGCCCATCGAAAACATTAAAAATATGCGTATTTTCATTTGCTCCCGTCACACACTTCGAATTCATTCGCCTGCGCAGTGATGGATAGCCCGTATTCGGAAGGGGGTGCGAGTATGAAATTAATCGGGAGTACGAACGAACTGAAAACAATACACGCAAAGGTGATGAGAAAATTCGAGCGACTGCTAGAAACGTTAATATGTATTCGAATACGGTATGATGAGTGCAAATCGTTACGCGTTCTTATTCAACTCGTCAAAAACAATGCGATTTGGTCTGCAACCCCTACCCGGAACGAGTAAAACGTGTAAGGCGTGTAAACCCGGTGTAACGGGAGGCTCCAAACGTTTTACGATAGAGTAAGAATTATGCTCAATCCACCTACGAACACGAAAAAGTCTATCGGTTCGATTGATCATCCACCCTTACTCGTCGGTTCCCCGAACCAGTAGCATCATCAGGAGGCAAATTTTCCGTCTGCTACGATTTAGAGTTAAACTGCTCCGAAGTCGGAACACCGTCAACATATAAATACCTACGTCTTTTATAAAGAACCGACGTAAAATGAAAATAATGAGATGCGCACTATTACGAGCACTTATAAATGCAAGCCCGTTATATTTTTAGACCAATTTGACGACCCCCTACAAACGTAAATCGGCACTTCAACAAGAGCTACGTGTGCCGTACTCCGGAAAGAAGCTGAGATGACACCACCGTTCCGAGCTAAGGGAAAACGTTCGAGACGCGCGTGGATGGTAGGTATTCCATCCGCGGCCAAACTCACGTGTTGAGCCGAGCAGTAACACAAGCAGCACAGCAACAGCAGCGTCAACGCGACGGCGGCGTTGGTGCCGGCGATGCCGTTGGTCGTCTCGGCGGACATGTCGGTCGGTCGTCGGTCCGTCGCGCCAGAACCCGAGCCCTCGCGTGCGCGTTCTCCGCGTAAGTGCGTATGTACAATGTGCGCGCGTCGCACGTGCAAGCCCCTGTCGGTGTCCGAACGGGGTCGGCTATGCAGTGGTTTCGGTTAATCGCCTCGTCCGTTCGTCCGTGAAATGTTCCCACGCTCTCACTCGCACTCACGAGTTGGCTGTCCGCGAACGGTCGCGCACGTTTTAACTGCACGACCGCGGCGACCACGACGGCCGTGGCCACGTCCGACTTGCGACGCGTGTCAATATTGGTGCGGAGCGTGTGTGACGAGCCACGAGCAGCCGCCAATGTATACGCAAGTGTTTCGGTAGTATGACGGCGTAGTCGTTAAACGTCCGTCCGTCCGTCGCTCACTCACTCTCTCTCTCTCTCTCACTCTCATCCTCTCGCACGTTCGCCACACGTTCGCCGCTCGTTTGGCAAACACCGCAACTAGGATCGTTTGATTTTACTTTTTTTCCGACTATATCCGCGATGTCGTCAACACATCACGCGTTACCGGTAACGATCAACCGTCAGTCGTATAAGTCCGACCGTGACCACGGTTAAACGTCGGTTCGGGCGCGCAAAAAAAAAAAAATCGGTTCCCTTCGTCGGACGCGATTCGCGTGCACAGCGTTCTGTCGAAGACGACTGCTTTTCTTGGTTATTCCGTTTTCGGTGTTGAACACGAGTACACGACTTGTAGAATCGGTGATTCATTTATCGTATGCACTGATGGTCCATACATTTTGTCGAGTGTCTGAAAACGAACATTATTTACGATTTAAACCAGCCATACTTAACCTTTTTTTTATTTGGGCCACATAAAATATTTTTAAATATTTCACAGGCCGCAAGTCAAAATTAACGAAACGGAAATTAAAAAGAAAACAAACTAAAAACAAATTTATATATTGTGTATATTGTATAACATATGAAAATTTATCAGAAAAACATTTAATTGAATAATTATTTTAAATCAGAGTGAATTTTAATATTTATATAATTTTTTCACTATTTTGGACAAGACTAGTGAATGCCCATCCTTGCAAATAATATTGCTGTACCTATGAATTTTTTAAACTTCAAATCAATGTACCTTTTTTCTCGAGTAAGCGATTATAAACGTGAGGTTGGGTGGAGTTTACATTTTTGAAGATAGTTAATACAGTAGAAATATTACATTTCTTAACTAGTTGGATTGAACTCTTAATGTTCTATTATAAAAAAAGCTATATAGGTAGGTAAGTAAAAAACATTAAAATGTTATCATTGTCCTTGTGTTATCAAACTATAACCAATTAAAAACATCAAACATTTCAGTTGCCAAAAAACAGCACAATTTTTTTAAAAATATTTCTAAACTATAAAGTATCTTCAAAAATATAATATTAGGTAGTCGAATACGAACACATTTCTACACATAGGTATTATTTATGAATAACGAATAAATAACTACAAAAAAAATTATTTTTACTGAGATGAAGGTAGAAATTTTTTGTCTAGAGTGATAATATTTTTTATTTTACTTGGATTATTAATCATTATTGAATTAGGAAAACTGAATTCTAACATATATTTTTATATTTTGATAACTAAGAAATTTTTTTTATATTAAATTTACCAACATCTATCTATGAAAAATATTTTGCGACCCATAGGTCGAAAAATATGGGCATCGCGAGAGGGGTAAAAGGGGTTGCACTTGCAGCCCCTTCGATTTAAAAAAGATAATAAAATTTAAAATGAAGGATAGTGGCTATTATTATATTTATTATTATTAACGGGCTGAGTCCTAAATTTAGGACAATTTAGGAAATTTAGTTAACATAAATGTAACATAAAAAAATATACAATTTAAATAATTAAATACAAATACACACATAAATTCATATAAGGTAATAAATAGAAACAATAGTAGAGATATAATAATAGTAGTATATAAAGTAAAATTAATAACAAATCATTATAATTTTAAAAGTTCAGATAACTGGTGCTCTCATTGTTCAGCCGATAATTGTCACTATCGGATTTTCTCGTAGCCTGCATTACTTTGTAGTCGTCAAAAAAAACGAAAATAATTTTATATTGTCATACAATTTGAAAATATATTCCTACGTATTTAACTTAAACAATTTAATCGTTATTTAGAAATCAGCATATATACTATGCATGATGTACTCCCTGACGAAATTCCTGGCTGTGCCTATGTTGAGAAATGCTGCCCTTGGAGAATACTAATGCTTATATGGTTTAACGTAAATAAGGTTTTATCGTGTATAAGATTCGGTGATAACTATTAAGATACTTAAGATACTCTTAAGTTCCATGACAAATTGCCCATAAAACTGGTTTAATTAGTTTTGAGAATCCTCAAAAATACTACCATTGAAAATACGATGATAAATAGGAATTATGGGTACATAATTAATAGACAATGAGTATTTAATTAAATTTAATAGATATGAACGAGAACGATTAGCAAATGTTATAGAATTTAATATATTTGTATAGGACAACTTCAATAATACAATTATCGTATTGTTATTTATTACAGAATATACAAATACACCATTCTATTCAGTGGCGGACTGATCCAGATGGTGAATGGGAGTAATCCACCGTGGCTGCTTTCGTGAGAGGCCCCTTCGTCATGGTGCATTTTTAATAAAAATATATTATATTAAAATTTTGTATTCAATTATGCTGTAGTTACTAAATTAACAATAATAGATAATAACACTCAAATACATAATCCTGGGGCACGAATTTTTTAGAGGTAATTAATACCGATGATATATTTAAAGAGTTTGTTACCCAAAAAGAAAGAAAAAATTATTTATATAAATAGGTAGCATTTTTATTTTTGTATTAAAAAAAAGCAAGAAATAAATTTATAAATTAGAATATAATTTTTTTTTGTGTCTGAAATATATTTATGAGTGGATATTTTGATTATGGTTATGGGCCTCTAAAATTGTTTGACTCTGGGCCCCAAATTATCATAATCCGGGCTTGGCCAATCATAAACAACATAGACGCAAATCCACTTAGTACTCTGGGGGTGCTCAAGTCCCTTCAGAATTAACTTATCAGTAATCCGTAGGAGGCTTTAAGACTAACACTCCCCATAAATCTCAAATACTCTGCCAAATCTTTAAAACAAATATTAAAATAAACAGAAAGAAATTCATGAAAATAGTATAGTATACTAAATATAATATAACTAATATAATTAAAATAGTATAGTAGTAATCAAGACTTTTATTATATAATAGTAGATCGAAACAGCACAAATGCACAATGATCACTATTTCATTAGTTATCTGAAAAATAGTTACCTAATAAATTGTTGTCTCACTAATATCCAGGTCCGTATTTAGGTATGGGTAGGCACATACCCGGGGGCGTTAAGTCTCAGGGCCGGTGAAATATTTTAGCAAAATTAATTTTAAAAATTATATACCTAATGAAAAAAAGAAAATAGTATGTTTTATTATGTTATAGTTTTTAAATTAAAAAAAAAATTGTATTTTTATTATATTATAATTTGTTAGTTAAAAAAAAAGGAAATGGTATGTCTTATTATGTTATAATTTGTTTAATTTGTTAATTGAAAAAAAGTATTAAACGATTTTCATTTATAAGTTATATTTTAATATTAAATAATCTCGATTATGGACAAAATAATAAGTGTTATATTATTATTTTTTATTTGGGGGGGAGGGGCATAAATTATATGCCCGGGGGTGCCAAATTTTTAAATACGGGCCTGATAATATTTAAATATAGACATAAAAGATTTTAAGTATTAAAAACGATATAAAATAATACTCGTATTATAAATAATGATACCTAAGTATTATTTATTTCTAGAATATATTGGCGATGCTAAACACCCTTTTAGGAAATTTTAGCTAATGATAAGCCAGCACAGCGAGCTGCAAATTTTTTGATCATACAAAAAAAAATGTGGATCACTTAAATCTTCTTCGCCCGAGCCAAAGTACTTTCAGTCCGCCTGATTCTATTTTTAAAAATAATAGCACACAGGGGCGGACGCAGAAAAAAATTTCGGGGGGTGGGGTCAAAAATTAGAATAATTATCGTCAGGCTCGTATTTAAAAATTTGACGCCCCTGAGCATATTATTTTATTATCCCCCCCTCAAAAAAAAAAAATAAATAAATAATAATAATAATATAACACTTATTATTTCGTCCATAATCGAGATTCTTCATTATTAAAATATAACTTATAAATAAAAATCGTTTAATACTTTTTTCAATTAACAAATTAAACAAATTATAATATAATAAAACATAATATTTTCTTTTTTTTATTGTTTTATATTTTTTTCATTAGGTACATCGTTTTTAAAATTAATTTTGCTAAAATATTTTGCCAACCCTGAGACTTGACGCCCCCGGACATGTGCCTACCCGTGCCCCCTTTAAATACGGGCTTGATTACCGTTATTTTGAAATAATTGACTATTGACTATAAAGATTGACTATTATCACATGACCATACAATATAAAATTTAGGGAAACCCGTCAATCATAATGTACAATTGTAAATAATATTATATCGATTACGTATATTTACTTATTTTTACTTACTGATAATAAGCGACTTACAAACACGCATTATTTTTACGAAGTATTGCTATCATGGAATTTCAAAAATTTGAGTTTTAAGTACCAATACCTTTTAGAACTTTGGAAAATTACAAATTATTACAAATTCACTTTTCTTAACAAAACATTTTTTTTCTAGCATATTTTAATCGTATTTTGAACAATTCATTTTTTTTTTTAAGGTACATAAGGTAGGATAACTATGTTTAAAATTAATCATTTATTTATTTCGGGTTGAACCCCTAAAACCCTTCCCTGCGTCCGCCACTGATAGCACATATACGAACACAGGCACTAAACACCTCTTTAATCGTTTTCATTTAAATTGATAAAAATTGGTTTCCAGCAATAGAATGTGAAAAGCCGTTTCTCTTCATAATCGTGAATATTTGACGATTAGTAAATTAGATTTAATTTATGTTCTAATTCATTGTCAATTAAATTTGAGGTTTCATCTGGCTACGGGAGTGTGTCACTAAAAATCCTACTAATTCTACTTCTCCCGTTTTACGTATGAAGTTTACACGTTGACTGCCATGTTAGCCGCCGGCGTCCGCAGGCTACTAGCATACAACAGTATTTTTACGGACTCCGGCGGTCGCACCTTTGTATTATTTATACGCCATATGACCGCGGGCTGCCATAAACACACTTAT